CCGTGCTTTTCTTCCAGGTGCTTCATCACCTGCAGTCGTGTTTCATCAAGGGTGGTTCTAGATGCATAGTGCCGGACTTCACTGTGTCCCTTCGAAATATTAACTGTGGGCCTTAACAATTAGAACAGGGTTTTGGGGCATATCATACTTTAATCATAGTGAGGAACTCCAAAATATTATGGGCAATAGTTAAGGCCCCTATATTGGCTGCAAGACCGGAACGAAGACTCGCAGCACCCAAAGGCGGCGCAGAGCAAAGTCACATGACCGGGGGGTGGGATTCCCTAGGGCGCCAGTTACCTTAACAGTAGGTTACTACTGATACATACTATATACCCCAGCGACCTACCATTTAGGTAACTGGAGCCCTAGGGATTTACAACTTATCAGCTCCCAGAGCATCCTACGTACTGGTATGAGGGATCCTTCCCTAAATTACAAGCGTTTGGACAGCGGCTCAGATTTGTTCAGCTCTCTCCGGAACTGGTGAAACTCGACTACTGCTGATAGGTTCATATATTTATATATGTGTGTATGTACATATGTATATATAAACAAAAAATACAAAGCTACATGTGTATGTATATATATATATGTATATATATATATACATAAACAGACATATGCATATGTATACACAACCATATGTATCTATACATATGCTATAAGCATGTATATGTACATTCGGACACAGCTACATTTATGTATATACACATCTACACACAACATCCCAGCTCTGAGGTACACGGTGCACCTGTTTATGTGCCCTCTCTCTCTCTCTCGACCTCTCCCTGCCTGTATACATGAATCTGTGTATATACACCTGTTTATACATCACATGTACATGTATGTAACGAAACATGTACACAGCATGCATGCACACACACACACACGTGTGCATGCCCGCACACGCGCAAACATATATACATCGTAGATACATTGCTGCCTACACACTTCTGTGTTGCATGTAAGACTTCCTCCACACGTACAGCTACGAATATACCCAAATACAGCCCACATGTCTACATACATATACATACATACATATAAACAAGTACACGCACATATATATATATATATATACACATGTTGTTACACATGCGGAAGGTGCTGAGCTGAAGATTTCCGAAATTCAACATTCGGACGCGCATCAACCCAGGTCACAGGTTTCTGGCATGAAGCTCTCGACTTTGGAACTTCACGATTTTTAGGATGCGCTAACAGTCTTTTTGTTTGGGTACGCAGAGAATGACACCAAAGCATGATTAGAAGCAACGTGTGCTTCCAAAACTCCCTTCACGTGTGAGGCAGCACTAGGAAGACCGGAATCACAGTCATTGGCGAGAATACGACATATACATGCTAGATCAACAATACGCATAGCAATAACAAAAACACATGAATCCGGTGTAGGATGAGGGTTTAGGGATCATATGAATACCGACCCACTCTCGGCCTTGAGCGGTTCGGGTCGCGCCACGAGCTCGAGCATGATCTTTGGCACCGGACCTGACAGAAGGATTGGTTTAAGGATTTAGAGCTTTATGCGACTAGATCACCCCCTTTTCGAACTCGCTGTACTTCTAAGGCATCATAAGACTGGGTCTTATGCCAGTCTCTCAAGGATTTGCCGAGTCACGGCAGCCGCGTTGAATCAGCTCCTCCACGACCTGACCAACTGAAATTGGATTGTGATTCGAGCGGGTCCAGACTGGGGCACACCTTCCTGAGCCTAAACCCGCACACCGCCTTCTGAAGCGGCCACGATGTCAACACTGCCTTCAAGATCCTTATACAGCGATCCTGAACTCATGCCAAACTTTCGGACTCCCTAAAAGGGGAGACATCCTCCCACTCTCCATACATGAGGCGTTCATGGACATAATGCTTTGCCTGCACCCCTCTCTCCATCTCTCACGAACCGTCTCTCTATGTCTATCATCTATATGCCTAAAGTTGCGTTTCGCAGATATACGTCTGCTGCAGATGAGCGAAAAACCATCGACAACACACGCAACACATACAAACATACTTACATAATTACATACATACTAACTCACATGGGTAGTTGCTTATTAACTTACAGGCAGCTGTTCCTGAGTGGGTACATGCTGGACATACGAATCCACAAGAACCCCTGCAGTGACACCTAAGTGAAGTGAGGTTTTAGGATGCAGGGTTTACCTTAACCCCCAATAAACCTACTGGTTTAAGGACGTATTTAAGGGAATCATATTAAGGAACCCTAAGAAGGTAGGTTTCTGAGGGCTGAACCAACCCTAAACCCTAAACTCCTAAACCCCAAATCCTAAACTCCTAAACCCCTAAACCCTAAACCCCTAAACCCTAAACCCTAAACCCAACAAATCCCACGGGGGGAGCCTCGAGGCTCGCGAACCGAGCAGCTTTGCGCAGCGCTTGGTCCAAGTAGCCCTGCCTCGCATTCTTTGGGGCGTTTGCCAGACTTAGCAGGGTTCCTTTCAGGGCTCCTTTAAGGGATCCTTTAGGGTTTTTTTCCCTCCTAGGGATCCTTTAGGGTTTAAGGTTTAGGGTTTAGGGATCTATAACAGAAAGTAGATCCCCTAATTTGGGGCCCTATACTACTAAGGGTACTTTATAGGAACCCCCTTAAGGGATCTACTTTACCAAGGATACCCTAAGGCTCCCTGGTAGTTGCTTTTTGGGATGACGTTATAGGATTCAATAAACGATGGAGCCTCTGGGTAACTATGATATAACTGATTTTATTAGTATATATGCTCGGGTGTTGCTGTTCATTACTATTGGCATCTTCTTTTGCTTCACGGCTGTCGTTTGCAGCGGATCTGCGATGAAGAGACATGTATAGAGTACAGAGAGGACTTGGAAGCTGCGTAATATTTAAGATATGTGATCTGTGCAAGGAGGTTGAGCAGTTGGCACGTAGAGGTGGTACAAGATTGGTGGGTGGGCTTGGCAATGAACTCGATTGTCGCTAGGTGAGGAACTCTTCTGTTCATACGCCGTCGGAGACAAGGAATGACACAGATTCAGGGTGTAGCGAACCCAAACTCCTAAACTTCAGGACTGTCGCTGCAAGCTCTAGGCAAGATGCTCTGCTCGAACCGTGGGCATGATACATTAGTTATTAGGCGAGTCCCCGCTTGTCGGCACCCTGAATCCTAAATCCTAAATTCTAAACTCACTCACCCATAACAACCTTAGACCCCAGATCCCTAAACCTGAACCCTTTTGCTGCAGGCTTGCTTGCAAGGACGCCTGGTAGTTTGCCGCTCTTCCGCCAGTTAGGACTGTGCTCGTGACACTGCCCCTAGCTACTTCTGAGCATGCGACTGAGACCTGAACCCTGAAAACCCTAAACCCTACACCCTAGATCCCCAAACCTGAACCCCAAATCCCCCCTTTCATAGAACCCATATAAGCCCCTTTAGGAACCCTTATAGATCCCTTTAAAGGAACTCTAAATCTGAACCCTAAATCGTAATCCCCAAACCTGAACCCTAAACCCTATAGTACTCTTATGGTAACCCTTATAGATCCCTTAAAAGAACCCTAATCCAAAACCCTAGATCCTTATCCCCAAACCTGAACTCCAAATCTGAACCCTTAGACCTTGCAGCTGAGCCTCGCTTCCCCTTGCACCTTGGACTTGGACTGCACGACGCTTGGGGTCGCCATGGCACCGCAGAAGTTTCGAGGCAGAGATAGGCTTTACTCCCGGACCTGGTGGACTTCCATATTGCTGCATGAGATACTTTAGGATGCTTTTCTGCTTGACTAAGAACTACGTAACACCAAAAAAGCTACAGGATAGTAATATGGTAAGGTATAGTCTGAGGCCTAGGCTACCAAAGAAAGTGGCTCCCCCCGGAGCGCGTAGAATCTTTTACTAAGTCGGCTGCGACCAGACTCCGCCTAAAAGAAGGAACGCTTGGGCCAAATCCGTCGCGATGAGTACTGAACCAAAACACCCGTGTTCTGCCTCATCGGCCCCGAAAAACCCCTACACTCCAAGCCGTAAACCCAGAACAGACGACTGTAGGGGCCTTAATATTTTGACTAGGTTTTTGTTGGGGCTCCTTCTTGTAATTATAGCATAATATACCCCTAACCCCTATTCTGAGTAGTAAGGCCCCGACAGTCTCCAAACGAAGTTTTTCGTGCTTCGCAGCCTATGCACTCGAGCCCAGAGCCCCCCCTTCCAGCCACTTGGACCTTCATCGGAACCGTTTCGGAACGGTTTACGGGTTTACCTTAACCCTGTGTAACCTGCCTCTTTGGGGCTCCTTCTTATGATTTCCTTGCATATGTCCATAAGAAGGTAGGATTTTCAGTGTTAAGGTAGGGTTTAGGTTGAGGGGTTTGGGTTTAGTGGTTTTGTGGCTCCAAGCTGCGATGACCGTGCCTACCAGGAGTTTCGGGCACCCTCTTCCGATCGACGGTTCCACATCCACCCCGGAAGTTGGGTTTAGGGTTTTGGGTTTATAGGGTTTAGGGCTTTAGGGTTTGAGGGTTTAAGGTTTAGGAGTTTAGGGTTTAGGGGTTTAGAGTTTAGGGGGCATCGACACCGAAGATGTGGAAACAAAGGGGTCATGAGAGCTGGCAAGTACCGGGTTTTAGACTCCCCCACAAGCCGATCTCTGGCAGTCGAAGAGAGACCAGGCCATAGTTCGGCTGATGCTGGCAGGCATGGCAGGGTCACACTTCTGACACAGTTTTTCTACGACCGTCACTGGGCTTCCAAAAAAAGCAGGCCATGTACAGGGGTTGAGCCTTTGGGGCTCGGGTTCGTCAACCCTGGCTAAAAGACCCCTGAACCCATCTACCCCTAAATACCCTAAACCCGGAACCCCTAAGCCCTAAAGCCTAAACCCTATCCCTAAACCCTAAAGCTCTATGTAATTCCTACACCCCCTAAACCCTGACGCTGAAAAAACCCTAAACTCTAAACCCTAAAAAAACCCTAAACTGCAGGAAGCCTGGCATTGCGACTCTGGCGCCTCTGTCGGCGCCTTCGAAAGCTTCGATGATGGCAAAGCCATGAGACCACTCCGTTGAGGGATACAGCGGCCTGAGCAAGGAGTTTCCGAAAATAGAGGATTTAGGGGACCCTGTGATTACTATACGGGATCTATAAGGATTACTATAAGGGATCCATAAGGATACTAGAAGGGGCCTGCTCCTAAAGGCTTTTATGCTCTTTAGGGCTTTTTTAGGGCCTAGGGATGTAGGGCTTAAGATGTTCAGGGATACAGAGGCCTGCGTAAGGAGATCTGGTGGTTTCCGGAAATAGGGGACCCTAATGAAGTACCCTAAAGAGTAGTGTCCTGATTATAAGGCCCCCCAAATAAGGTACCCCTAATTTTTGGAAACTCCCATCTGAGAAGGGTTTAGGTTTGAGGGTTTACGCTCTCGCAACTCGGACACTGCCAGACGAGGTTCTTGGTGCGCACAGTCAGACTAAGAGCTTCACTCAACTCCTTAGTGAAAACAAGGCAACAGAAGTTAGAGCCATAGAGTACAGGAGATGAGCAAAGCCGAAGACCAGTATCCTACATTGAGGACACAGCAATGCAGAGGGGGAAACTCTTCAGAAAACAGCTTCAACAGAAGGTAGTACCACGCAGGACAACCCCCTCCTAAAAGAGAGATCTTCTTGATCTCAACGAACCGTCTACGGCTTAGCCGAGACATGTAATCCGAAGATCGGTACATATGGGATACAGCACTATAGAACAAAGGAACTACGGCGGCTCAGGGCGGTGCGGAATAGAGTACACAGAAACTATGTCAGCTCAAGGCGGCTCAGTACACGTGCACGATGAGAAAGCCATACAGGAAAGGCACTGTCGTTGTGTCTATTTACCAGGCAGGAAGGTGCACCATCCACATATCCGAGACAGATACATAGACCCGACTCTCCACGCCGTTTCCGAAATAGACCGAACTGAAGTGGAGCTGTCCGGTTGTAGACCTGGCTCTCTTGTTGAGTAGGGACCTCAAGGTCACGCAGTCCGGGTGTTCTGTTGGTCATGCAGCATCGGCTTCCGGGCAAAATCTGTGAGAGCACCGCGTCCAAAGAGCTGTAGTGCACTTTGCAGGATCTGCAGATCCAAAAGCCGGGTGCAACATGTAGGATCAGGGCCAGTGAAGGTTGCACCAGCGATACGGGGCCAATGTTTGCACTCTCGCAACTCCGACACTGCCTGACGAGGTTCTGGTTCGTACAGTCAGGCTAATAACTTCACTCATCTCGAGCCAGCTAGGGCGCCAGAAGCACGAACCACATCTGTAGCAGTTGGTATGCGAGACTTGCCAGCAGTCAGCCGAAGAGGAGCGCGCATGTGTCCAGGGCGAAGCAGCTTATCAGAAACATGGTCCCATAGCTGTGCAGCGAGGTCGCGGGTTAGTGGTTTGCCTATCGGGAGGTAGGCTGGGACACTAGAAGCCACGAAGGCTGAGTTTACAGGTTATGGGAAGCATAACAGGGGGAGATTTGGGAGGTGTGGGATATCGGTGAGGGCATCGCAACAAATTCATCGCATCATCAGCAGGAAGCAAGGCAAGGAGAAGGTTAAAGGCAGTACAGTAAGGCACACAGTCCGGCAAAGTGTAAACGAATTCAAGTTCATGGCAAGGGAGGAATTAACTTGTTGCAAACCAAGGTGCAAAGGAAAACAAATTCTGAATTCTGAATTCTGTCCGAGTTGCAGGCACGTGCTAACTTGCAGCCAAGTTGCCAAGTTACTCTTGCCGACTAGTGCTGACCAATGCAGACCAATGCAGACTAATACGGCAGGCACGATTATTCCCATAAACCCTCAATGGGCGCAGGACTCAGAATGAGGCCGAAACAGGGTAAGTGTGTATGAAGACCGAAATACACCAAGGACTCAGCTGTACAGTCTAGGCGTCCCCAACCATCTATCACACATAAACGGACGAAATCACTGTCATTATCCCAAGCCCAAAGTGGTAGGGGTTCCTCGTTAGTGGTGTCAGGGTACATGGATAAGACTCTATCGATAGATTCAAGGTAGAACTGCAAAGTAGGTAGACGAGTATAATACCACCACCAAGCGGTACGGCTGCCCCTGATAATGTCCCTGAATTCTTTGGCAACCCAGGAAGCAAGGTAGGGTGGCATGCACTCCAAATGATCCGTTAGTTCCTGTGCCGTAAAAGGCGTGAACGGCCTAAGGTGTGCAGGTTGGTTCACCGTCAAACCATCATGATCAACCACCAGCGCCATCTTACACGGGAGGTGGGACCTAGAGCTGATACGTTTGAACCTAAAGGGCATCGGTTTCCTGACTTTCCAAGACTTCAATGACGTCATGTTGGTCTACCGTTGTTGCCGGCAAGGACAAGGCTTCTTGTAAGGTGACCTGTTTAAATCTTGGGAGGGAGCAGCATCCGTTTCCAAACAGTGCTCGATGTACCGCGTTTGGGCTGGGGATCGGGAAGCCAAGTCTCAATAAGGCACCCCTCACTTCTTCTGACAGAGAACAACAATGAATCGAAGTGAAGGTGACCAAGGAAACTCTATCATCCGCCTTAGTGTGGGCTCCAAGGAAGCCTGCGTGGAGTCTACATCGGGCGTTGAAGATGTAGGGGACATCTAAGTTCTTCACTGTGCCCCACAGTCGGTGTCCCCTGAAGAGCATGGGAGTTGGGCCCGCGGGGTCCTGAATCCACAAACCTGCATCGCTAGCACATGGGGTGAGGGTCAAAACCGAACTAGGGAAAGGTCCGTTACGGGAATCTCTGTGTACGGTTTCCACACATCCGCGTCTGATGACAAAAGTGGAGTACAGGTGCGTAGGGCAGGTTACAGCCATAAATTTATTGACCGCCATGCTCATGAAGGGCATTTCGCTACTGTGGGTGAGTCCTGTATCCGGAGTTCTGGGGGAGACACCACTAACAACATGAAAGCCAGACTGTGTGGGGCGGAGCGAGGATCTTGGTAACATGCAAACCAATTCCAAAATGTCTTGTCTTGAGGGTGGAGAGGAATCCATGAGAAGCTGGTATGCACGGATTTCAATGTTGCGAAGCAAAGGACAGGAATGGAAATCATGACATGCTAGGTACCAAGGCTCCGTAGGTATTCTGGCGATGTTAGTTGCAGCATACTTACAATGCAACTCAGTAGATCCCTGTTCTGGTAGTGGGGATACTTGAGGAAGTAGAGCGTTGGCAGTCGTCCCATCGTCATCATCATCATCATCGATGTAGATAGTGTTGGTTACTGTAGGGGTCAGAGAGATGACCTCCCTGGTGGGGACCAGGAGTCCACGGGGCCACATGACTACGAAGCTGCACTGAGCCGCACACTAGAGCACAGCAAAGGTGTGAGGGCTGAGATATGAGGGATAAACATGTTGCGGTGTTGCCGTCACTCGCATTGTTTTGTCCGAGGGACCCGTCCTGTAGTCGCAAGGGCTCGTGCACACATGCACTGAAACATGCAAACAGGAGCACATGCAGGACAATTAAAGGTGAACAGTGCAAGGGGCGTGCATGTTGCCCGGCGGTATCAACATTACGGTAAATCCGCATCCGAGATACAGAATGCAACAAATTCAAAGTCCTGCAAAGTAAAGTCCGGCATGAATTCCAGTCCAGCATGCAAAGGCGACAGTATCGAAAGCAAAGGCTGGTAATACTGCTAATGCAACAAAGTAGAGAGTCAAAACAGAGTCGCGCCTGAAAGCATGCATGGCACTGAATCAGAAATTTACCGCAGCGGGATGTTGATGCTGCGTCCGTCCGGATTCATAGTGATACCGCCTTCTCCTGGAATGCTCGGCATAGGCAGAGCGGCCTGGAGATTGACGGAGCGAGGGCCAGCATGTGCCTGCGCATCATAACTCGGTGGCGGGCGTTCATGTGGGCCTTGGGAAAAGGTCGGGGCTCGATACTGTGGCGGCGGAGTCTGCGTGGTGAGGGGTCTTTCACACATCTCGCGGATTGCGTGGACTTCCTCCCCCGTCCGTGCCACTGCATTCTTGATCTCCGTGACCTCTGCCTGCGTGAAGTGTTCAGCAGCCAGCAGTTCGTTGGCCAACCCTTCCAGTTTGGAGGCATAGACCTGCGAGGAGTTGAAATCGGTATTGGTGATCTTTTTCAACACCTCCTTTATGCCGTCCACGAGCTTGGCTTCCGTAGAGCTGAGCCAGCTCCCCATTTCCGTGTGGCGCTCCTTGGCTTCCTGTGCAGAGTCTTCACGGCCTCCACGTACATTGTTCGCGATGGTCGACAAGAGCTTGCCTTGGTCCTTGAAGCCCTGGTCCACCGACTGCATGGTGGACTGGACATTGGCTGTCATGGGCCAATTTTAGCCGCCACCGTGCCCATGATCTTTTCAATGCCATCAAGCCTGGCACCGAATTGTTTGATCTCATCCAGGCGTGCCAGGGCTGTCTTGACATCCGTCTGCACCGTATGCATCTGTGTATGCATCGACTGCATCTCCTTCATAAGCTGTAGTGCCGTAATGTGTGGTCCGCCAGTAGGTGCCGGCGACGCTGCTGGTTTCGGAGAAGCCGTGGAGGTAGCCGGTGCGGTAGCAGCAGGAGCTGGAGGTCCCAGCGCCTGGGGCTTGCTCGTAGTCGATGGCCCGTCCGATGGCACCGCCGTTGGTTTGGCTGCTGGTGTGTCACCACCTGTGGTCGTAGTAGCGGGTTGTGCCGGGGGTCCAGAGGGTGCTGCATCCGCACTCTTGGCTGGCTTGGTCTCTTCTTTCGTGGGAGGCGTTTGTTGCTTGGGTGAGTCAACAATCGCCGTTTTGTCAATGACTTCCATACGCTCAGCCGAAACCTCATTCCCCTCCGCCGGCCTCTGTTTCTCGCCCTTCACAGGATACATCCAGGAGGCCATCCCTTTCATGGCGAAAATCACAAGTAGGGTGAGCCCGATTGTCCATAGACGATCCATCCAAGCATCTGCATCGGCAGGTGGCAGCCGGTGCTGAATCAGCAAAGGACTTTCCGGGGTGAAAGTCTGCTGAGAAGCCATGGCACTGAAAGGGCTAAAGCAAAATGCGAAACAGTCCAGGCCTCAATT